CGGATGTACCGCATGCTGGAAGGTGCTGCAAAGTGAGTTCTTCGTCGCGCCTATTAGATCGTCGTCATTTGTTTTCCTGCCTTTGCTCGAAAGATCATGAAGCACTGGTTGTATAAAATGACAGTGCCTCTTAAACAAGCTACCCAAATTCCGCAACTAAATCCACTGACGTACACTTGCTTGTTTCAACATTCATTCAGAGCCTACGTGTTAATTCCTGTAGTGGACTACCATGGACCTCCATAGTGTAATAGGTGAATGTATTGAACAGTAAGTAATGTGGCGATTCATGACACACTGTTAATCCTAAAGTGAGGGATGCATATTCACCGAATTCTCGTGGAGGAAGTGTTTCCACCAAAGTACACGTGGTGGCTCACCAGTACTTCAGTACGCGCCTGAGGGTTTGCAGTTTCTCCGGCTTATTTCGTGGTATCACCAAGCTTTGGAAAAATTATCACCGCTAGACAAAAATCCACACAGCATTTTTCATCCTTGTGTACCGATGCACGACGGAATACTGATAGGAACAGTTCCAGCCGAATAGGAATGAAAAACATGGCAGTTGAATCTCCTGGGCAACTTACTAGACACAGGAAGGCTCAGTAACAGTCGCGCAACCCATGCTTTCATTCGTTGCGCTACAGTTCGCATAACATTGCTGACAAAGTAAAACATAAACCAAACGAGATTGTGGTCAGCGTAGTTTTTTAATGAAAAGGTTAGGGCTAAAGAAGAAAAGCTTATAGGAATCATAATGGTTATCGCTGTCAAGCAATAACATGGTTTGGTGGGACGGATGTTCGGTGAGCCCCAATGTTGGAAATCATTCTGGTTAATTGTGACTGATGCAGATGTAGATTTTTGGTGTATATTTTGGTTACCTCAATGGACCTCTTTGAATAGAGGGAGTCTCACCACACTAGGGGGATCGAATAATAGCAGGTTACTTTTGCCTGAATGGCTGTGCATCGTTTTAGTAAAAAAATAAACCTGTTGTTTCTACCTCACTGTGCTACTTCACTTCCTTTCACTTTGTGTCTGACAACAATACAGATACAACGGCGAAACTTTATCAGTGCTTGAGTAATGACTGCCCTGACAAGCACTACATAGAGTCGCACAAAACCATGGAATTCGTACATAAACAAAAAATCGAAATCTCCAAAGAATCCGAGCAGGTGGCTACAGGGAAGGGTGAAACGGGAGAAATAATTCAGGTCTGCAAGCCATGTCATCCATACTGTGATCGTTGCACCGCAAACGGGACCCACATGTCAATCTGTGAGAGCTGCATTTACTGGTGGTTCAAAGGCGACTGTGTCAAAGAATGTCCACCAAGTAAGTGTCTTGACGTGGTCCGCTGAATTAGGTGGATGTACTATATATCACGGCTAACTACTTAACTTATCGGAAAATCTGTAACCTAGTCTCTGCAGCGATTTTGTACAGGCATTTGTATTTTTCTCTATGCATGTCAGCCGATGGTAGCCACTTTTTCAGTGGCTGATATGTTGATTTGCTGATTTATTGGAACATACTAGCAGTTTTAGTTTCATAAGGCTGGTTTGGTGAATTCCATTTAACTTTCGTTTCAGTTACCTAGATATACACCGTTAATTTTACTCAGTATACTTTCAAATACCTTGCAGAAGTTACACTGACGCGTCAACAGGTCGATGGTAGAATGCTTTACATCTCACCACTGTGTTCAAGTAGAGCTGTTTCCATCCACAATTATCCTCTTTTGTGACAATTCAACCCCATGAATTAAGTTCATTATGCAATAGAGGAAGCGCCTGGTTTCTTAAATGGAAAACCACGACAACTTCAATCCAAATCTAGTAGTACATCATGCTACCGAAAGTTCTCTGTCGTCTGAATTGAGGGAAAACTACTAGGTGCTACCACCAACACCTCATGAATTAAAGTAAGTTGACGTGCCCAAAGTTCCATGACGGACTATATGGTAGGATATTTTACAGAATAAAATGCACTGTGAAAAATAGGATTCTTCAGGCATAATCTAGACGCAAATTTTAGGCAATCCGTATAGGCCTGTTTGATGAGCCCTCATAAAGAAGCAGTCTTTCGTGTGCCAGGATGTTTTGGTAATTGTCGATTTCGCATAAAAAGTCCTAATACAATGAAGATAGACCGCTGCCGGCACTTCAATCTAGGCAAAACAATGGTTACTTATTTACAATAATGCCGTGTGAATACCACCATAGGGTTGTGAATGCCACAACCACCTAAACGGAAAATTACTACCGTATCACATACCTGGAGCATATACCAACTTATACGTCATGCGCTTCATCATTCTTCCTAAAAATCTGCCGACACCACAAACAAAGAATTAGACTTTCGTTAGCTAAAATATGATAGATTAATTTTCTCAGTGAGCATTTTCTAGAGAAATGTTCATCATACGTGAACGTGAATCTTGATTGATGAAGCACTATACTTCAAAGTCTGTGGCAGAAACACCAGTTTGAATGATTGCCGATTAGCTGTCTTACAGTCATATCAACTAATATAACTAAATCCCTATAATGGAAAAGGGAAACGAAGAGGAATGGGGAAATGTTCTGATGTTAACCCGTCAAAACACTCAAGTTTTCCATCCTTACTCATACCGATAGAATGAATTCCAATGATCCAGTCACAGAAAAACCTCACAGCCTCTTAGGTGGGCAAAAGAGAGGATAGTGTGAACGGCACCCTGGGCGATGACCACTGCTGGCCGTCCCAGGCCGCTCCAGATCTCATCCCTGTTTTCGTGTGGCTGTTTGCAGAACAGTAACCACCCTTAATCAGTAGAATAAAAGGTAAGGCTGGTTATCACACGATTTTTCGCTAGTAGTGGACAGACTTTACACTCGGGATAACACTAGATGAAGTTGTGCCTTATGTAGATTTTCCCAGGGAGTAGTTTTTCACAACTGGCGAGTTATGCTTTCCGTAACCTGTTAAGCGTGATCTTTTTCAGACATCAGTGTTTGTTGTTCTCCGAACATTCTGAGAAATTGCATCAGGTCAACATTTTCCACATTTGATACGGCCTTATAGTCTGGGTCCACAAACTGGTTCATTTTGGCTGAATTAAGTCAAGTGAAGATCAAACGGCTGGTTATGTAAATTATTGCCAAGTCCCCCTGTTGTAAATAATCTGTAGACCGCACATCAGGCAGACATTATTGCCTATAGGATAATATTGCAACGTATCAGAGTTTTACAGGACAACTGTGAATTATTTAATTGCAATAGGATTTACTAGACACTTCAACTGTCGGACTGTTCTCTTAAAACACATGATAGCCCGAAAGGTATTTTTCGATCAACATTTCTTACCTTATATTTGTGGTAAACATTCCATCCATGATAGATACCAGGTCGAGACAAACGTGTCACGCCTTAACAGCCAAACTAAGAGAACGCGTATATCCAATCTGCTGTATTAAGTGGCGATTATGAGGAACACTTCTACGCCAATCAAAAACCATCACTCTCTGTGTCTGAATGGGTTGGTAAAAACAGAGCACTGAATTTTGATTTCCTTTTTCAATCTAGCGGAAACTTATGTACTACCTTCCGGTAATGTGAGTACGCAGACTGATCAGAAGACGCCAGAAGAAAGAATCGCAAGCATCATTACAGAAGCTGGTCGATCGCGACGCAGTTCAAGTCAATCCCAGTCTGATGAGATGCTTCGAGCTGGAATGACATCATTTGCAAGATATTCCCTGTCAGCATTCGCACAAAATCAACGACACTGTTTGGTATGTCACGACGAATGCATACAAGGTTGCACGGGTCCGGGACCTGAAGACTGCAAGAGCTGCAGAAACTACAAAATCATGCTAGGTCCCGATAAGGTGAGTTGCTCTTAATGTATTGTGTGGTGGTCACTTAACTCAGCGGTAAATCTACCGCACTGGAATGCTCTACTGCTGTAGTGCACTATAACGGTGTCTAACGGCCACCAGAATTTCACCACAAGGAACTGTTGGACATAAAAAAGGACTCACGGTGATGCACCAGGTTCCCCTCCGACTTCCAGAGTACAGCTAAGCATGAACCCGATGAAAATTTGGTGAAACAGACCTACTTTCTTGCGGTGGCATATAGGTTGCATGTATCGCTAATCCTGAGCAAGGAATTGGCAATTTATCGAAGCAAAACTCACGGCAGCGTTATCAGTGGGATCCAGAATTCAAATATTGACTGCAATTCAATGAACTTCTCGAAGAATAGGGTAACATGGCCCAAATGTATTCACCAAATATTGTGAAATTCAGGTGATTGAAACAAATACCGAACTGGGTGCTATCGTACTATTCATGAAAAAGTAACTTTTTTTTAGGACAATGACAAGTGATGATATTGGTTGGAATATATACCCAGACGGACCACACTGGGAACTATTTTTATTGGGATTACACAGGTTTCTTCACCAAGCCAAGCATTAGGGAGAAGCTCAGATCAATCCCCTTACAATTCTGCCACTAAGTGAGCGTCTTACGCTCCAACACGGAACGGGTAGAACGACAAGATATATCTGTATCAATCGGACGCTTTCCAACATAGAAATTTGACCATATACATGGGCAATGTAAATGAAGCTAGATCGTTGTAGGATAGCGCAGTAAAATATTTAGTTCTTGTTAAATCAGGTCTCCGATGGGACATAAAGCTATACCACTGGCCAAAGTTTATTGCTCGAATCCGTTTCGAGATTATTACTTTCCAAAATAGTAATGGTCCCCAATAAAGATAAAACTGCCGTACGGCGCCGGTCTGTTTTCACTCAAGGCAGAGTTCGAGAGCTTCAGAATGTCCACGCCATAAGCAGTACAGGGAACTAAAGCACGCTGAATTTTGGGACTGATACGCATTCGCGTTGCGTACTGAGGGGACAATACAGCTTAAGGGGAAAAGTTCATCATCCAACCTTTTGACCTTTGTAGATGGGCTCAGTCAAGAGCAAAATAACCGCCATCGTAAATACAAATATCATGTAGACCAGTCTGTCAAAGATGCCTTGGTAACCCTGTCTCATATTATGTTCATTCACGGTGATCGAAAACTAGGTTCAAAGAGAACGCAAGGTTTACGTGAGCCCGTACTTATCTGTGAACCACTAAAAACGGGTCTGCCAGGGGTTTTAACAAACCTTTGAGCAGCTTTCCGCCAAGAAATTTGCGCTTTACAGACAAAAACATTCTATCCGTCTTGTTTTTGTCAAATGTGTCTGGCTTGCCTTTTCTACCGGTATTTTTGTCCAGAAAATTCACTTGATTACGTACCTAGCAGCCCAAACGCGCGTGGCTTCCGGTGTAGATTTTGTGAGATATACTTAGTCGCACAGTTGATTTTTTTCCTTGATTGCACTTCCTGTGGTGACGTTTTCATATTCCAGGTTTCGCAACTTTATTCCGAATCTGTTGCGAAATATGCTATGAAAACGAGAAACAGTGTGACATTGCTGGTGCAATGCAGTCTTCAATGCAGTCTTCTTCATGGCTCCAAATAAGGAATAGCATGAAAGCATTAGTTAAAAAATGAAGAAATGTGAAATTCCGAAGAGGCAGCCGATGGAGGAGTGAAAAGTCTCATTGCCGGGTTTCTAGCAATGATCTGGCTCCAGGTAATAGACTCTAACTCAAAAACATATTGCGTCATAAGTGTCTGTCTGATGATCACTACTGCTGCGTGCGGCTACACACGTGATTGCATTCTCTGTACATGACGTTTTTCGTAAGTCACATGGCTCAATAACGCGAATAGGGTGGGTGCTTGTCAATCCAGGTAAAAAAAACATTTAAACTGGGCTAACCTAGGCCTCGGGTGGTCCTAGGCTTCCTGCAGAATAGAAGAGTGGGGATATCATTCACTCAAGTCACACACAGCTGTTTTTCCTCTGAATTGCTCCATACTTCGGTCTTACAAGAAATTTAGCTAAAGGGGATGGATGAAAAGAATGGTAGCTGGATGGTGGGTGCTATCCAGGTAAAAAAAACATTTAAACTGGGCTAACCTAGGCCTCGGGTGGTCCTAGGCTTCCTGCAGAATAGAAGAGTGGGGTGGGTGCCAATCCAGGTAAAAAAAACATTTAAACTGGGCTAACCTAGGCCTCGGGTGGTCCTAGGCTTCCTGCAGAATAGAAGAGTGGGGATATCATTCACTCAAGTCACACACAGCTGTTTTTCCTCTGAATTGCTCCATACTTCGGTCTTACAAGAAATTTAGCTAAAGGGGATGGATGAAAAGAATGGTAGCTGGATTGTCTTCAACCGTCAGCAGTCAGCAAATTAGAAAACTAAAATCTATAATTCCTGTGGAGTTTCTGAAACTAAATTGACACACTGAAATATCGACGAAAGATTGATCTTCAGGCGGTGATTTTTACGGATGAGACATCATGATTTGTGAGATAAATCGTATCCCACCTGGAGAGGACATCGAGATGGTGATGTAACACAGTCTCTTCCGCGAAGATATATTATCAGCCAAAAGCTACCTTGAGGCTTCTTATAAAAGCAACTCGCTGGATGAGAAACGTACAAGGAAACTCCTCATTCCATCTTTATCTATCCCATATAGTTGTCGTTATATTAGCCGCGGTCCTTACTTGTGCACTCAATTATCCTTTTTTTATGACGTTCAGTAACCTACAGGGTGCTTGCATCTCACTTATCCTGTATAATTGCTGATTTGCCGTCGTTTCAACTGTTACAAAGCTTTTGAATAAAAAAGAACCGTTCTTCCGTTTGACTTACTCAATATGAAAATCGGCTAACTTTTGCCGTTCTTTGCAATCGAGGAAGTTAATTTTTCTCGAGTTTCTCCCCTTCGATGAGGTTATATTATAGATAGGTAGATAGATTTGAAAGCGGGATATTGATTCGTTTTGCATGAATGTTAGTGGCCATTAAGCGAACATTAACTTGGTAATTTTTGTCATCAATTATCAGAGTTTGCTCAACTTCAAATATTTTTGCGGAATAGATTAGTCTACCTGAACCGGATATAGATGATAGTGAACTTTTCCTGTTATAAATCTGGTTTAGACTTTTCACAAGGGAAATTACTCACAAGGTTAATGAAGGGTTTTCAGCAACCTTGTGAGTAGTTTTCTTTATGAAAATATACTGCTATATCTCGAATATCGTGCCAACTGAATCATGAGGCGGCCTGTGTGCAGCACATTCAGTTGTAGAATATCATAAACGAGAGATTCATTTGAATCTCTTGTGAAAACCAAGGTGGTTTGCAAATGAGTGTACTTCTCAATTAAGACTTTCTTTATGCGTAGCAAACTATTCATAATATCACTGAAGACTCTCCTGTGGCCAACGACCGGTTTTGCCCATATTGGGGATAATTAGGCAGGCGTACACATAGGTTTACACCTATTTTATCCCGAAAAATTAGGTCTGTGATGTCTTAAAATAGGGAGAAATACAAAACGTAATGTGAACGCGCTTCCTTTGCGAGTCGTTTTTACCCTTATATGTCACAACAGTGTTCAATAAGCAGATTACTCTCCTTATGATCATTTTCAACTTCATATCCAATAGAAAACAAGTAAGCTGTTTAGAGGTGCAAAAGTCATCCGGCTACCCCTTTTCCAAGCCATGGTTTCGTATGTGCAAGTCTGAGTTATTTGTGTTCAAATGAACAGCATTTATGATTTTCATCCTTCCTCTATGTGTTGGATAGAATATATATTCCGACCACCATTACTTCGCAGTGCTTGACGCTCGAGGGTTCGAACTGTTTCGAAAGTCCAATAACATATTAGAGCTGATGTACTCATGACTATGAAATATGCTGTCATAATAACCTACAGTATTCCTTCGCCTCAACCACCTCTTAACTACGTGAAATAACCAGGAAGGGTAGAGAAAAAGACAGTGGCGCACGTGTATTAAGAATACAGTTCCGCTAAGCTTTCAACTAAATAACTTGTACAGCCAGGATCTCAGATTCTCCCTGCGAGCGAACTGACCATTAGTAGAACCGAGAGGTTTGTTTCACTATTTTACGGTTTGCATCGCTGCTTACTTACTTAAATTAGGGGATTGCAAATAAAAGTGAGAGAAACCAGCTGCTGAAAATAGTCTTTCAGCAAAAGTATCTAAAAGAATCACTTATAATGGGTGAATAAAACAACTTGCAAAAGGAAATTTGTTTGAATCAGTTCAGTTAGGCACCTGACCTGCACGTGACATAGCACTTTGCTAGTGGTTGTGTGCTGAAAGAACGTTGAGTGGTGCTTGTAATAAGAGGAATTGTGCCCGTAAAAACGATGAAAAGTGACACATGTGCAACAGCTTCTGAAAATGGTCAGACAGTGTTCTCAAAAAAAGTTTGTTCAAGATTTTTGAAACGAGGGTTTTTAGAAGTTTGTAAACATAGTAATTATATCCAGGAAGCAGCGGTTTTTTTCAAGTAACGAAATTCTCCCCAAAAGCGGCGCTTTTCCTCGGCTGCGGTTTTCCACGTATTATTAGCAAACTCCATTGAGATAATAAATTTCTTCGCATTGTGAATGGACAAACACGCTTTTAAACATTTATTTGTTACTTTTTAAAGTGACGCAAAACTGGTTGATTTTTTCAAGAGTTTACCTTGAACTGGAATAGCTAGAATGGTTATAATGGAGTCGACCCATTTTTGCATCAGTGGCAGAGCTGTATTATGAACGGACAAAAGCTCTGAATGGCCTTAACTTGCCTTTCGTATTCCCGGATGTATTGGTACATCAGACCCTGTCTTTATTGATTTCCTCCAAAGTACAAGGCACTGCATCTTACTACCCATTTTTTTCTGAAAGTTCGAATTTAGAAGGAAATGAAGGTGAGATGAAACT